CTCAGTGGTTGAAGTTGAAATTGAAAGGAACTACGAAGACTTACATTACCACTGACCTGCATCCTGTACACGAAATACGAACAATGCTTTCTTTTCTTTTTTCTTTCTACAAAACCATGCAGGCCTTTATTAAATAAATACATTAAAGTGTAAAGAAGCATTTTCTCAATAGACTCTTCATCTTGATCTGTACACTTATTATTATTAAAGCAGAACACCATTGTTTATGATGAAAAGGAAAGGGAATAATATCCAGTTGTAAAAATGTTTTTACGAAGGTCATTTTTTTGTCTTTTCTTTTTAAAGCTTCTATTGTTTATTAAGTGAGTGAAGGCTTACAGGACAGATCACCAGTTTTACATTCAGCAAATCACTGTAATGATTACGATCCCCTCCAGGTACCACTAGCCGACAGTATTTACCTCTGTTATTTATTGATTTTGATGTATGCATACCACATTGTAACTATATACTCTTTTAAATGTCCAAAGGGCACATTTTGCCAGCCAGCCTCCGGCCTGCAGGCACACTGCTCCTCTCTGTCCACGGTCCCATAGTCCTCTGCTGCTCTGTCTCTATGCCATCGCTTCTGCCACCATCTTTGTTCAAACTACTGTTTCTTATTGGTTGGCCCCAAGTTTGTGTTAATATAATTTTTAAAACACCGAGGAGAACCCTTTATATTTTTCACTTACACTTGAGCTTGCAAACTTTCAGGCTTTTGTTGAAAACATTTTTGTCTCCACCTGAAGCAGTGGAAAACAGGGACTCTAACAGGTACACACACTCCAGTGTTTGCAGCATTTTCCACGACAGCAGCAAGGTGGAAACAACCCGGGGTCCACCAGCAAATGAATGGATAACCATCATGTGGTCCACTTATACACTGGAATGTGACCCAGCCGTAAAGAGAAATGAAGCCTTGGTGAGCTACAGCATGGATAGAAAGCTTGGTGTTGAGGGAGTGAAGTCAGATAGAAAAGGACATCAAAGTCATCCACAAAGTTATATGACTCCACTTAGGTGAGATTTCCAGATGGTTGGGCAAATGCCTAGTCACCAAGGTTTATTAGTGGTCACTAGAGGCTGGGGTGTGGATAGAGGATGCATTAGGATATCAAGTCCTGTTCCTCTGATACCAAATGTGCTGCTCAGATCAATTCATTATCGACTCCATTCCCCTCTGTTCTAATACCATCTGCACACACAGCGATTCCTTTCTCTGACCCCTATCACTTGGAACTGACAGAACACTGTCCTCCAGACCACCACGTCTGCCCAAGACCCCAGCCGCTAGCTTAGGAGTTCCCACAACACCTCCGATTCTGACTCAACTCCTGCTGTTTGCTTGGGCCCAGTAATTCTCCATAACTCCAAGAGCTTAGGGAAAGGTGATACTTAGGACCACAGTTCTACTGTAGCCCAAAGGATGCAAATGAAGGGACACAGAAGATGAGGTCTTGGAGGGTCCCCACTGTGAATGCCCTACCCTGGCCCACCCCATGAATGCACCAACCAGGAAGTCCATGGAGCTTCCATGCCCAAAGTCTGGACTGGGCCTCATTCCCTAGCTGGGATTGAGTCAACCCCAGAGTTAACATCAGAGTTAACAGCCCCCACCTGAGTCGTTAGCATGGTACCTTCTGGAAGCCTCATCAAAGATACTTCAATCATTAGGGAAATGCCAACGTATTAGGGGTTATCCTGAACAGAGGACAAAGACCAGATTCTTTGGATGACATTAAAGTCTTCACAGGGGTTATTGGTGAATGGTCCAGAGTTTCTCAGAAGGTACAGCGCTGTATAATAGTGGTGTCTGGGCAGGAAGCTCCTGGTTAGCACAAAAGGT